GGTACAGGAAAATGAGAAGAAAACATTTGCCAGCTGGAATAACTAAAGATTTCATTTGGGCAAAGATGTGCACTGTAGAATTATGTTATGGTGGCTCTTTTTTTCAACAAATTATATATGTGTTTAGCCTTTGTGCCTGCAGAAAAACAAATCTTGAAAGTGTCTGCAAAATGCAGTCACTGTAGCTACAAGTACTCACTGGGGAGTGCTCCCCTAGGAGCTACATTTACCAGATGCTGTTGCATCCTTTGAAATGCTTCAATAAGCAAATGTCTGTGAATTATACACTCTGATCAAGGTTGGTAAACCAGATTTTACTCTTTCCCATTTCTTCTGTTTAAGAGTACAAGTTGCATTTTAAGAAGAGAATCCAATTGTTCGTGGTTATTTACAAGCATTCCTTTAGTTATCGCATTTCAGAAACAAAGCATATAGTGTTGCATTCACTGGTTGTGCAAGTGGAAGAAAGCATATCCAAACAAGCTTTCTCTTTCCTATTCTGCCACCTGTGCCATCCTTGCACCTTGAGAAAAGCACTTGCAAAGGGTTGTAGGACTCCTAAACAATGTGAATTTCTTTTATGGATCTGTAGCGAGAGAAAACCACTTTAAATGAGGTGTTGAAATCTTGCACAAGTAGAGATTCCTTCATCTGATTTCTGATGATAGTCCCACCACTGCAGAAATGTTGGAGCTTAGCTGCGTTAGTGTGAACTTTTACACATTAATAGTGAATTCTAAGACATAGTCATGTTGATCGCCAATATTAGTTATGCAAAAGGATATTGTAACCGACTGTTCTCTTATACTTGTGTGGTCATTAATATTATTTATTTATTTATTTATTTACATTGCTTCTACCCCACCCTTCTCACCCCCGAGGGGGGACTCAGGGCGGCTTACATGGGCAACAATTCAATGCCATAATATTGATACAATAACATAAAATCAAATGCATAGAAAATTAACAATAACATTAATTAAAATCGCATACTCATATACTAACATAGTCGCCTAATCAGAATCACATATCCGTTTCCAATTGTCATAATCCTGTGGTCTGGTTCAGTGTCTAAATGCTGCTATGTCCACTAGCCAAAATCCTGACTCCAAAACCACGACTTTAGTTTTTTCCTAAAAGTGAGGAGGGAGGATGCTGATCTAATCTCACTGGGGAGCGAATTCCACAAGCAGGGGGCCACCACTGAGAAGGCCCTGTCCCTCGTCCCCACCAGACACGTTTGTGACGCCAGTGTGATCGAGAGCAGGGCCTCCCCAGTAGATCTTAAATTAATAGTAGATCTTAAAATAATAGTGGATACATACCACATTGAGCACCTCCAACATCGCAACACTTTTCATTAGGACAGTTGCACCGATTTGCCAATCTGTGTTTCTGCAATTGTATTTATACTCATACTCTTAACCTTATTTTCCTGCACTACTGCTTTTCCTGAATAATAATAATAATAATAATAATAATAATAATAATAAACACCATTGTGTAGAATAAAATAACCCTAAATAATCCCCAAATTATGAAATAAAATAACATTAAAATTTAACAGTAATTTAGATTGTTAGGTTTGCTAACTGTAAAAGTACATTTCAATGAATCTAGGCAGTACTTTTGAGAACTAGCATGGTGTATTGTGTTGACAGTTGGGCAAGATTCTGGAGACCTATATTCTAATCCCCAGGTGGCCATGAAATCCCAGTAGGTGATCTTGGACAGGTCACACTCTCATAGCCTTGAAGAAAGCAAAAGTAAACCTCTGAGCAAATTTCAGCAAGAAAACCCCGTGATACGTTCACCTTAGAATCACATTCAATCATTGAATTGGAAGAGATCACAAGGGCCATGCACATTAGAGTCAAAATAACTTAGGTATTACTTGAAGGCACACAACCAGAAAAGTAGCATTTAGTTTATGTTAAACATACCAGTAAGTATAATCCCAACATGTTTCAGAATAGACATTAAAGAAGATAACAAAATATTTACTTTTAAAATATAAACTTCTTTTGTACATTCAGATACTTTTAAAACAGGGGATGGGAAAACCGTTGATGGTTCAAACTTCTTTGAGAACTATAACCTTTTGGCTAGCTAAGTAAAGATTCACTTTACAAAATATGTTTTGTTCAATGACAGATTTTGTGTATGTTTGGAGGTAATAGAACATAATTGGCCCCACTAAAAGGCCTTGAGTTCTTGTTTTCTAGATTCCTCAAGTATATGGCCTGCCTATGTAACTTTACTGAAAATCAAGTTATTTTACATATACATGCCTTGCCAGTAAACTATAAAACAAAGACCATTCTGTACCTCTGCTAGAAACCAATTACTAGGTTTACACTGCATTTTTCATTGGTATTGTAGTAATATTTTTGCTCTCATCACTCTCATAATCTTTTTAAGTATAGCTTGCCGTTTAGGTGAAGAGACATAAGGGGAAGGCATAGAGAAAAAGAGATATTTTATCTTCCAGGCACTTTTTGCTGTAGCTGTACAGCAGAAGTAAACAAAAATACCCTGGAGCTAAGGTGGATCATTAAAAAGGAAACCAGGTTGATATTATATTTAATTATGTTATTATGCACTCTCTGGCTCTGCTTGAAATTTTGCCTTATGGAATGGCACAACAAAGCAGCATTGTGATTACAGTTATTGTGGCAATTTGCTATTAATATGTTTTAGTACAGATGCCGTGCAAGAGCTGTAGTAGTCAGTTTATATTCTAGAATATGTTTTTGTGCCCCTTCCCCAATTTCTGCTGCAGAATTAAGTCTTTGTTATGTAGCGTTCCATACATCTTTGTATGAAGACAAAAGGAATTGTTAATAATCTTTATTGCATAAATTTTAAAGTAACTACATTAAAAATTTTGGTAGGGTGGTGGGGGTCTGAGCAGGAAAAGAATAGGAAAGAAAGAAAAGAAAAGATTATTACAGCAAGCTTTTGGAACTTTGTTATTATTCCTATGTTTGGACACTGTTTATGTTACTGGTTTGTTTTTTTGTTTTTTTGGCTTTTTGCTTTTGGACTTTTATTATCTTTATATTTGTCTCTTTTATTGGCTCCAATTATTCTTCAAATAAAAATGACTCTTCTTTAAAAAAGGGAAAGAAAAGGGGGGGGGGGCGAGGGAACGAGAAGGGATGGGGACATATGTCTTCCAGTCCATTCCACAAGAAGTTTTCTCTTTCTTCTTGACATTCTCGTAGTTTGTGCTTTGGTTAACTTATTCTATATGTATAGTAAAAAAGAATTGTTTATCTATTAAGAGAATCCTGAATAGTATTTCAAAGAGAATCTGTTGGGCTTTGGAATATGATAATTTTAGAAAAATAACATTATTTTGACCTGTGCATTCTGTAAATTGTATGCAAAATATAGCTATACATTTTCTTCATCTACACACAATTTATCTGAATATTTGGAAAAACTCTGACGTCTTAACTACATTTATGCACTTCTACTTAGTAGTGCTTAAATGAGTACCATAAATAAGATTTCATTAGCAGACATGGCTTTCTTATTTATGGGCAACACATGGCCTTTCCAGGCATTAACTGAAGACTTTAGACCCGTGTAAGCAGTTGGAGGGTTCTGAGAAGGAGTTGGCTGCAACTATTTTCATGGTTATACATTGTTTCCTGGGCTTGGGTAGCCCAGGAACATTGAATGGTTCTTTTCTTTTCCTCTTGTCCTCCGTTTTACATTGGTCTTCGACTGCAACATAGGTCCTACCAATGGCATATTGCCTGCAGTGACATCGACTGAAGCAATCAGGAAGAGGTGATTCTTGATCCCCTCCCTTATCCTTCTGTCACCCTGGTTGATGTCACAGCAGGTCATAGCTGATCGGTAAGACTTAAGTCGCAGCTGGGAAGAGACAGTAAGGGTGACTGTCCAATGGCATGAAAGCACATTTGGTGACGTTAGATGGTTAGGACTCCCTCTTTCCTCCATAGTAGCTAGGGTGTGTATGTGCCTCTCTTATCCATCCTGGGCCCCTGGCTAGCAGGCACAACATGGGTCCTGCTAACCACCTCATCACCTGGAGTGACTTTGGCCTAGGCGAAGAGGCGATCGAGGAAGGGAGGGGGGATTACTTCTCTCCCCTCTTCATCTTTGCTCTGGTACCCTGGCTGATGCCACTCTACATGACAAGTAACTAACAGGAACCATGTTGTATCTGTTGAACACTATCACAAGGAGAACAGGAAGGGACGGTGGTCAGGACTCTCACTTCTTCTGCAGTTGAGGGGATTGGCTCCACGATAAGGGATCAGTAGATCAGCCGAGGAGTAGTTGAGAAAGCTCTAAGCAAGGGCCTAGAGTGAAGTATGTTGTTTTTAACAAACTGATACCTGTATTCACTCCAGGCATGATGGATTTACTGTTAGTTAATGTACCATTTGAAATATTCTCTCACCTCTGAATAAAGATCAGGTTTATAACTGGTGATGGTAGTGGTGTGCTTTTAGGTTTTTTGCTGCAGGATAACTTAATCGTGACCATCACCAATTGATTACTTTCATAAACCCAGTTTTCCCTGTTCTGGCAGAATCACAGCGTGGCTTGATTGTTAACTGGAACACATTGCTACAAGTATATTGTCTTGGAGCAAGAGCAGGCCTGCACAACATATGGCCCACGTCCTGGATGTAGCCTGCAAAGACTTTCCCTGCAGCCAACGGGTGATCTCTGACACCTCCCCAGCCTTGTGCTATTTCCCTGGGAACGGTGTGAGGCTTAGGAAAGGGTTGGGGTGTCTGCCAGGTCAGGCAGGCATGCAAAGGCCCCTCCTCAGCTTTGTGCCATTTTCCTGTGTCTTTGATCTTTAAAACCCTAAACATTATTTATGTGAGGAATCCTAAAAAACCAAAACTGGAACCCAAAAAGGAGGGTGCATGACTGTTATGTGGTGGTGACTACAGTAGTTGTTACAGAATATACTGTGCATTGATAATATATTTTTCCTTCCTATTTAGGTTTTGAGCTTGGCTTTGCTATGTCAAGTCCCAATGCTCTGGTTTGCTGGGAGGCTCAGTTTGGTGACTTTCACAATACAGCACAATGCATAATTGATCAATTTATCAGTTCAGGACAAGCCAAGTGGGTTCGTCACAATGGAATTGTCCTGCTTTTGCCTCATGGAATGGAAGGAATGGTAGGACTTCCACTGATTACAATAGTAGTATTTTATAAAATGTGGGTGGACAACAGAGAGGGATTCACTGTGTTGTCGAAGGATTTCATGGCTGAAATCACTGGGTTGTTGTGAGTTTTCCAGGCTGTATGGCCATGTTCCAGGAGCATTATCTCCTTTAAAAATGTTTTTTTAATTAAATACAAGATAACGTAATCTTTGAACAGATAATAAATGTCTGTTGTGGGCTTACATTATGGTAAAGTATTTCTATTTTATCTATTCACCTTCTTTACAGATTCATTCTCATTACTTTTTTTAAAAAATTTTCCCCATCTTTGCCTCAAGCCAGAGAACGAGTTTTTTAAATATATTCTTTATTGAGGTTTTTTATATTACATAATAATTAACAACCAGAAAGAAAGAAAGAAAAGAGAGTAAAGGGAAAAGGAGAAGAGGAAGAGAGAACAGAGGGGGGGGGGGTAGCACCGAAAGTTAAAAAGAAAAGTCAAGAAGTTTCCCATCAAGAGGTTTCCCTTCTTCTTCAAGTTGACTTCCAGGGTTCTTCAAGGATAGTTTCTTCCTTTTCCTTCGTTCTTCTTCCTCCTTAGTTTTCCTAAATATATATTTAGCTTTTTGACTAATCTACTAAAGATAATTGTGTATTTACATTTATCAGGGTCCAGAACATTCTTCAGCCAGGCCAGAGCGGTTTCTTCAGATGTGCAATGATGATCCAGATGCTTTCCCAGTAAGTATGTCTATTGCTTTTCCTTCTCACCTGTCCTTTCAATCCCCCCTCCAACTTTGTATTTGTTTTAATTTCCCCCCTTTAGAAAGATTTAAGTGTATGAATTTATTATTGGGATATGGATTATGACCTGTTAGGATCATAACCTATTGGGTAGCAGAGTATCGGAAGTGTTCCTTTTGATTATTGGGTAAGGGATGATTGCTGGGCATGTGAAAATCTTTGTTTCTATTCAGTGCTCTTAGCAGACAAAGATTCAAGTAGACTTCTTTAAAATAACATATTTGTTTTACTCACAACTTCATGTATTTCAATATATAGGCACATTTCTTGTCAGGTTAAACTTTAAAATGTTTTAGTTTGTATCTTTAACTTATAGTTTTTATCTGTCACTTCAAAACTATATTGCTCTGTTCAGCTCTCTTTTATAACAGTCTACTTCCAAGGGATTCAAGCCTCAACAGTTTTCTAACTTCCTACACTGACTTCTGTACTCAAACTGACTCAAGGCTCAACTGTCATTCCTCAACTGTCATCCTTTTAAACTGCATTCTAAACAGTCATTGAACTAGTCACGTGGTCTGTGGCCTCTCCCACTGCCTCAAGTGCATGCAACTGCAAACCAAAGAAGACATACACTTCAGGAAATAAACAGCATATTGTAAACAGCCAAAACATTAAATAGAGGAGGCTTGAGAAGGTTGCTATCTCCAACATTTATACTTAGAAAAACATACCACAAGAAAGCTGTACAAATAAAATATTTAGTGACTGTTGTTAAGTACGCAGATGGCCCTCTGTATCCACTTTTTCTGTATCTACTGATTCACCATCCATAGCTTGCAAATATTCCAAAACCAAACAGAGACATTCTAAAAAGCAAACCTTTGTTTTGTAGGTTTTTTTCAGACTATATGGCCATGTTCTAAAGGCATTATCTCCTGACAATTCGCCTGCATCTATGGCAAACATCCTCAGAGGTTGTGAGGTCACAACCTCTGAGGATGCTTGCCATAGATGCAGGCAAAACATCAGGAGAGAATGCCTCTAGAACATGGCCCTATAGCCCAGAAAACCTACAACAACCCAGGGATTCCAGCCATGAAAGCCTTCGACAATACAAACCTTAGTTTTTGCCATTTTAGATCAGGAATGCTGCCTTATTACACCATTGTATACAATGGGATTTGCGTATCTATAGATTTTGGCATTCACCTGGAGTGGGGTGTGGTCCCTTAAACCCAATCCCAGTGGATAGCAAACACCCGCTAGATAAACATTTGCAAGTAATAAAATCTAGCTATGTATATTCATAGTATGCCTTTTCAAGTTTTTAAAAAATGTGTGTAACTCACAGTGGATGTGAGCTATCAGGATCACAAACCTACATAGGCAGTATGCAGGATCTAACAGATCATATTGTTTTTTAAAACATAAAAAAACATTTTGCTATGATCACATGCTTGACATAGTTTAAAAGATACAGACTGAACAAGTACTGGGCTAAGAACTGACATATGGAATATTTAGCAAATAACCTTAAACAATCATTCCACAGATATATAAACCCATTTTCCTAACTCCAACAGACCTCACTACCTCTGAGGATGCTTGCCATAGATGCAGGCGAAACGTCAGGAGAAAATGCCTCTAGAACATGGCCATACACCCAAAACCCCACAAGAACCTAACCTTAAACAGCATTTTGCCTAGCTGCTTTTAGACCCAGCATCTCAAATGCATGTTTTCATTCAAATAGAAGTAGCAATGCCAAAACATTAAGACTAAAAGCAGATTTTTCATGAGTGGAAGGAATTATTAAGTTTTCTGAAATACCACATTGCAATTCTCCTCCTGACTATCTATAACATTGATTTACGGATGACTTGATCTGATGATTCCACATCCCCCCACTCCAATGTTGTGGGGTATGCCTAATTGTATCCCTTGACACAGGGTTAATTGGAGCAATTAAATTGTGCATGCTAGTTTTCCTTTACTTTGGTAAAATTTACTATTTTGATAATGTTCACAGAAGTGTGTATATATTCTATATGTTTGCCTGGCCTGGACAAGTTTATAGTGTATGACTCTTGATTTGTTGTGTTTTATAGTCTGAACTAGATAGAAAGACCTTGCTGTGGTATTTCTAAAACTCTTTTATTTCCCTTTCTTCAAACCAAAATGTAAAATTAAATGGAAATAACAGATGGAAATGAAACAATGTCTGATTTTTTAATGACTGTCCTCTCTTTTCAGCAATTTGATGATGATTTTGAGGTTTCCCAACTCTATGATTGCAATTGGATTGTGGTAAATTGCTCTACTCCAGCCAGTTACTTCCATGTTCTTAGAAGGCAAATTTTATTGCCATTTAGAAAGCCTGTAAGTAATTCAGTGGACATGTTCTTGTTATCATTAATCTTTTGTAGCTGTTTGTATATGTAACAGAATGAAAAATGGAGGATGGGAGACTATGCATATACATAATGCTTAGGTAATAGTTGAAAGTAATGTTTATGTTCTTTTGTTCATTATGTTCATTTTTTTAAAGCCTGTGAAGGTGCATACATTATTTTATAATGGAAAAATCTAAGCAATGAAAGGAGATTTCTATTCTTTTCCACTTGACATTCTTTAGCAGTTGGAAAATTGCAACTGTCCAATTCTTTGGTGTGGTCTTTGTGTCCTCACAAAATGGATTTTACACCTGCTTATGACCCTATTTGGAGTGTTCCAGTGCTGAGTACATTTAGTAGGAAGCTCTTCCCTGCATTGTGCATATTCCAGCCCCCCAATCTGATCTCACCTCAGTTTCTTTTCATTCGTCATCAGAACAGTTTCACTAGCTGAGTAACTCTCTCTTCACATCTAATATCTTGATTTAGCTTGCTTGCTTTCTTTCCCTTGTCTTATTTCCTCCTTCCTTTTTTTACTTTTAGTTCTTTTATCTGCAGTTAATAGTTTCCTCTAGTAGAAATGGAAAGACCTGAAAAAAATGGAAAAATTGGGGGAAACAGTTTTCCCCCAGGTTTTTCCCATAGTTTTCTCATTTCCCCTGATTTTTCCATCTCCTCCTGTTTTTCCCATTTTTCTAAGTTTTTCCATTTTTATCCAGGCTTTCCCATCTCTAGCCTCTACACAACCCTTCAAAGCTCGCACTGTCATGATTTCACTGGCCAAGCTCTCCACAAATGGGGAAAAATCTTTTTAAGTGGTGATCACACCGTGATGAATATGGTCTTATTTTCTGCTTCTTCGTCTCTGATTAAGCTTTCCTCATTGCCTTCTAATGGCTGTCAAAACTGAAGAAAATGCCCTCATCAACTTAGTCTTCTTTGGTGTCAAAATCGGTTGCCATGGTGATGCCCTTTGTTACTGTTTTGTGATTTATCAATATCATCCAGCTCTGTCGTCAGTTTCTTTATTACTAACGACAGTGCATTTGATGTTTCAAGGAATTGCTTCTTTGAAAGTGAATACCACAGTTAGAGATAATGGACGGTCAGTTTGCTCACTGATTCCAAATATTGATCCTGGATAATCCCGGCTCAAACTGGACTCCTTGCATCTTCCCATTGTTTAGAGGAAGGCTTCTTAAACTTTTCCACTTGCAATCCCTTTAGGCCCAAGAATTTTTTTACATGACCCTGGTATATAGGTATATAAAATAAGTATAAAAACAAAAATTTGCTGATACAAATTTGCAAAGCTTGTTAAAAAGGCTGATTTTACTTTTTGTGGAGTACAGCTGAAGCATCTTCTGCAAACAAGGAGTCAAGGAGGCAGTAAGGCAAGCAAGCACATCGGCAAGGAGGAGTATTTCTTTTTTATGTAGATGTATCTAAGCCTTGTTAGATGCAGGGGATAGTAAGAATTGCAATTCATGATGTCTGGAGGTTTCTGGGTTGAAGGACTAGGGTTTCTTAAACTTTTCCACTTGCTTTGGGCCCAAAACTTTTTTTTACATGAGTATATAATTATATAAAATAGAGGAAAAAAACAAATAATTACTGATTATTTGTTGCTAAGCAGACTGATTTTCCTTTGTATGAAGTACAGCTGAAGCATCTTCTGCAGAGTCCACTGTAAACAGTGCACAACAAAGTTGGATCAATGCCTAAACTAGCCCCTAGGTGCTGTTCAGAAAACTTTTATTGTTGCCAATTTTTTCAGAACTCTTAACATTAAGCTAAGGGGACCCCATTTGGAGTAAGTTTAAGAAGCAGGGATTTAGAGCATTTATATCAGATCCTCCAGGATAGTGTCTCTTTCCTGTTTATACTGTATATACAGTTCCCTACTCTCTTGGAAGCTTCCCAGGTGAATACCGGCAAGAAGATTCACAGTAGTCCAGCAACCAAAGAAAGCAGAAAACATTTTGGGGTGTAGATTTTACTCTTTTACTGCCTTAGCTATTTGGATTGCCAACTTCTAGGCTTGAATGGTCGTCCATCAACAGTTTATAAAATGCTGGCCCTTGTGTCTTCTTTACCAGATTATCAGAAGAGTGTTGTGACTTAGCTCCATCAGGAGGCCCGCCATCTTGCATCCCAACAAATACAGTAAATATTCTGACAGAACATCACTTGGGTGTTTCATATTTTCAGTTATAATGCTGTTAAGTAGAGAAAGATGAAGCCAGGTTCCCAAACTGATAATATTGTTTATACTGTTGTTGGAAGCCAAACCCCATCTTTGTAGCAATTGAACAGGCCTTAAAAAGGTATCTTGCAGACTGTGTTTGTTGGGAAGCTCCTGATGGAGCTAAGTCACAACACTCTTCTGATAATCTGATAAAGAAGAAACAAGTTTTGTGTGACACAGACCATGGTTCCTTAGCTATAACTGTGGCTCTTTGACCTTGACATCTATGCCCTCAAATAACCCAGCTTACCTTTCTTCTTTCTCTGATTTCAGTATTATCTATTGGAAGCTGAGTTGAGAATATAGCTTGTCAGGATGGAATTTCCATGGAGCAGGGAGGGGTTTCCTACTTAGTTCTAGTACATTCCAGCACCAACCGCTGCTCTGAGATCAGAATGAAGAGAAGGACCATGAAGGCAGTTCCATCTTGCCTCCAGTGTCATCAGTTGGGAGCCCCCCCATCTCCAGCACTAACCGCTGATCTCAGATCAGAATGAAGAGAGGGGCCATGAATGCAATTCCGTCTTGTCTCCTGCACTGTGCTTATAATAATATAATATAATACAATATAATATATTGTATATACATATAATATTGATAATATTATAATGTAATACAATATAATACTACTACTAATAATATGATATTATAATTATATATTTTATATTAAATGTAATATTACTTTTTTTTTTGTCGTGTCAGGAGCAACCGCTCCTGTTGTGAGAGAATTGGCCGTCTGCAAGGACGTTGCCCAGGGGACGCCTGGATGATTTTTGATGTTTTATCATCCTTGTGGGAGGCTTCTCTCATGTCCCCGCATGAGGAGCTGGAGCTAATAGAGGGAGCTCATCCGCCTCTCCCCGGATTCGAACCTGCGACCTGTCGGTCTTCAGTCCTGCCGGCACAGTGCTTTAACCCACTGTGCCACCGGGGTCTCCAGTGTAATATTACTAATAATATTACAGTAGAATGTAATATATAATATTAATATTGTGCTATAGTAATAATATAATATATTGTATTTTCATAGAGAGGTGGCATACAAATGTCGTAAATAAATAAATAAATAAATAAATGGGATCTCTGCCTGTTCAAAGCCCATTGTGTGAGGGCACAAATGACCACTCAGGGCCCATCCAGACAGGTACATATCCTGGGACCAATATAATTTTTTGAAACAAGTTTGAATATTCTAAAAGTTTATTAGAATAGATAAGTCTGCTATTTCAATTAAATTATTTTTTCCTGATTTATTCTTATTCTTATTAACTTTATTTGTACCCCACTAGCATCTCTTGAAGGACTCGATGTGGCTTACAAAGGCCAAGGCCACAACAAAACAGCAATATAACAATTACACATAAACCAAAAGCAAATAAAAAAACATTAAAGCAATAACAGTGAACAATAAAAACAGCACACCGTGACACAATAAAACTAGGCCGGGCAAATGTAATGGCTACAGATTAAAAATGCTGAGTATGCTGAGTGGGATATAAGGATTTTTGGATAGGTGCAATGTGCGGACAATCTTAATCTCTAATAAAGTGCATATATATATAAGCAATATTAAGTTATCTGGATGATATTTGGTAGGTTGGAATTTCCAGAAGCATTTCATGACAATGCATTTTCCACAGTCTCAGTTTTATCAGATCTAAGATCCTTCTTAGATAAAAGTACTTTTATTCTGGTTCTTCTCAACACAGTATATTTAATATGTGTTGATAGTATTTACTATTATTTCTTAAAAACCCTTTATAATTACCTTTTATACTAGCACTTAAATAATATTATATAATAAAAAGAAATAGAAATAAAAATGTAGATAAAAGCATTGACAAATGAAGTAAAGGATTAAAATGTCTGAAATATGCATCTTAATTTTTTTCATAATAGCACATTTTAAAGATGTCTAAAAATGTCACTTTACAGCTGATCATTTTTACGCCAAAGTCATTGTTGAGGCATCCTGAAGCAAAATCCAGTTTTGATGAAATGATGTCAGGTAGGTTCCCTTGTAAACAATATTTTAAGAAATATTTTCTTCTCCATCTTTATAGTCTATATTGTATTGCACTGCACTGGTCTGCATTGAGTTGGATAATACTACTGAGTTTCCTTTCGCAATGTAGGAGACAATCAAGATAACAAACTACAATTCTAGAAGGGTATATCCTTTAACTGAACTTCAGTGGTCTCTTTCCTCAGATATTTTTTTCTGCCCTCTGCTTTCCTTTCACCTCTTTTAGTCCCTAAGGATTTTTTTTCCTCATTTTCTTTCTTTCTATCTATCAGACAAGGGCCTTTGTAGTAAAATATTTTTATTTCTCATCTAGGAACCAGTTTCAGGCGTGTGATCCCTGAAGATGGCCCTGCAGCTGAAACACCTGGTGAAGTGAAACGGGTGGTTTTCTGTACAGGGAAGGTATACTATGATCTTGTCAAAGAGAGGAAGAACCAGGATTTGGAGAAGGAAGTGGCAATAATCAGATTAGAGCAGGTAGCCAATTCTTCCAAATTATTCAAAATATGCATGCCACTGGATTGCAAGTTTTGATATATTGGAATGTAAGAAATGATATTTTTTATGTTAAGAATAATCAGGAAAGCATGAAATAAATTTAGTGCCACAGGGTCTTTACAAATTAAATGTATATTTATTTCAGTGTTCTTAGTTTACTGATAAGGTTTGTACTCAGCACTTTACCCATCACCCTGGCCATACATTCTGCTTTTTGCACAAGTCCATGCTCAGCCTCCTAGTCCGATCATGCTCATATTCGTATTCCCAGTTGCTGGTTGCTGAGTCTGATTTGATACATTCAATGTTGCTTGTCTATTTGCTGTTTTTAATTGTGTTTTAATTGAATTGTTATATGATATTATGTTTTTAACTGTGTTTTTTGTTGGTGAATTTTACTGTATGTTCTGGGTTTGGTCCTGCTTGTAAGCCACCCAGAGTCACTTCAGGAAGATGGTTGGCAAGGTATAAAAATAAAGTAGTTATTATTATTATTATTATTATTATTATTATTATTATTATTTATGAATGGTATGACTGGAGCACAAGGTTATGTAATCATATCTTCTCTTGTGGAAATTGATGAACAGTTCTCTTTTAACCACATGTACACGATAATTACACAATGTATTACAATTTTTGTTCCTGGGTTATAAATACAATTTCCCAATTGCTTCTATTATAAAAATATGGAAAAGGTTTATCAAACTGCCAAAAAACTTTGTTATTGCGGGACATCCTTCTGCACATTTTTCTATAGTTTTTTGATGATTATATCATAGAGCAAGGGTCCTCAAACTTTTTAAACAGAGGGCCAGGTCACGGTCCCTCAAACTGTTGGAGGGCCAGATTATAATTTGAATAAAACATGGATGAATTCCTATGCACACTGCACATATCTTATTTGTAGTGCAAAAAACCCCACTTAATAACAATACAATAATTAAAATGAAGAACAATTTTAACAAATATAAACATATTAGTATTTCAATGGGAAGTGCGGGCCTGCTTTTGGTTGATGAGATAGGATTGTTGTTGTTGTGCTTTCAAGTTGTTTCAGACTTAGGTTGACCCTGAGCGAGGGCCGGGTAAATGACCTTGGAGAGCCGTATCCGGCCCCCGGGCCTTAGTTTGAGGACCCCTGTCATAGAGTCGCAATCAACATAGTTTGTGGCAGTCCCCAAAATAAAGTTTTTGTAGTATAACAAGTAAATACCACACAATTTAAACAGGAAATAACACTTTCAAACCAGAAACAGAAAAAAATCAAATTTTGTTACATAGTGTTATTGATTTCTATGTTTCTCAGGGTATTTTGTCATTTTTGTTGCAAAGTAATTTCTCTATGTGTATTTTGTCATTTTTGCATTTTACTACATTTCTTGAGAACTGCATCAAAATGTGGGGGAGAAACAGGAATAACTGTTACTTAATATGCACACTTTGAGAGATGCAAATAAGGCTGGTTTGCTTAAAAACTGAATAAGTTCTCTGAGCTTCTTTAACACTTAGAACACAATTTTTCACTTTTTCCCCTCAATCCAGATCTCTCCTTTCCCTTTTGACTTACTCAAAGATGAAATTGAGAAGTATGCTAAAGCTGATCTTGTCTGGTGTCAAGAAGAGCATAAGAACATAGGATATTATGACTATGTCAAACCACGTTTCCGCACCATTGTGAACCATACTCGGCCAATATGGTAAGGGTGCTTGCATTTGCTTCTTTTTTCATTCAGAAGGACTTATCTTCTTTCCCATTGGTGCACTATCAAAATAAAAAAACAGTACAAGGAAATGGGGATGAGACATTGGTTCTCCCTGCCCCATCTATACTGTCGAAATAATCTCATACTCAATCTAACCCTTAATTTGTGGTCATTTCAGGGTCAGCTTTTCTTAACCTTGCTGCCTGCTAGACAAGTTCATGCGCCTCTGAGCCTTTTACTCGGATTCTTTTATCTTTTAAGATGATTAGGAAGCCTTTTATGGAATCTTCAAAGGCAGTACACAGACTGTGGTGTAGTAGACAAGTCTGCTTGAATCATGAGCATATAATACCAATAAAGAAATGAAATACTGATTTTTAAAAATATCTTAACCTTAGAAAACAAAGACTGAAGAAACAAGTTAGTTAGACCTGTTTTTTTACCAGTCTAATGATTAAATAACACAAGCAAGTAGGTATAGCCAGAATTTCTTTTATACCGAAGGTTGTATGTTGTATGTATGACTATGTATGACTATGTGTTAATTGTGTTATGTGTTAAATGTTTTGATACGGCCAATAGGCCAATCAATAAAACGTATCTATAGCCAGAATTTTCTGTGACAAGTATTTGCTGGCAGTATATAAGAAATATCTGGAGTTTAAGAAGGAATAAATGTAAGTTTACTTCTGAAAATATCCTTATTCAGTCTCTGTCATCTATCCCCATTTTGTCTACTCCAAGGTATGTTGGTCGTGATCCAGCTGCTGCTCCAGCAACTGGTAACAAGAACACGCATCTGGTGTCGCTCCGAAGATTTTTGGACACAGCTTTCAATCTGGAAGCATTTGAAGGAAAGATGTTTTGATCATAATACAAGCAGTTCCTCTTCAATGTGTAGTTTTGTCTTTATGTGCTTAGGAAAGGCTATGGCCATAAAAAATCAGTGGGAAAATTCTTGTAATTTTTAAATGGCGCTTCCTCTAAACATTTCCTCCCTCTTGAACCATTGTGTATGGCTGCAAATACTAAGGGTACCTATATAAAATCTTCTCCACTCATTGTGGTTTTAAGGATTCCAGTACAGCTACCTCTTAGTGAAGAGAGACAATAACACACTTTTTGAACCTTGATGGAACATTTAAGGTAGACTGAATCAACATATGTACTTTAAAGAAATTTCTTTACGCTCGTGACAATAAAACAGAAATGGTTAGAAATGCAGATTATGTAAACAGTCTCATAAATCTCAAATTACATCCAGTCTTTCTTTGTTGAATTCTTACATGTGTAAGTACAGCATAAAACAACACAGAATGAGACATTATTTTGTATTGTTGAAGCCTTTCATGGTCGGAATCGCTGGGTTGTTGTAGGTTTTTCGGGCTTTATGTCCATGTTCTAGAAGCATTCTCTCCTGACGTTTTGCCTGCATCTGTGGCAGGCATTCTCAAAGGTTGTGAGACATTACTTTGCATTTCTTTCTTTTTCTTTCTTTCTTTTTTTTCTTCAGTCATCCAAAGTAATTACCCCTTACCCAACTCTTACAAACATCCAATTTACAAACAAATTAACTCATGGTTGCAAACAGGGATGAGACAACAAGAAGTGAGATAAACTTACCCCTAGGAAGAGAATTTTGCTACTGAAAGAGAGATCTTCAGGAAAAGGTGTTTCCACTGAAGCTTTATCTCCAATCCTTGTTTCCACAACAAGTCCAATTTTTCAAAATCCAGTTACCATAGGGACAGAAAATGAGATGAAATCTGAACAGGGGCACAGACAGCAAAGAAACACCACAGGGGTGTTAAACCTTCCTTTTGCTACCCAAAGTTCTCATACACACACACACACACACACACACACAATCTAAGCTAGTTATCTTTTGTAAAGCTGCAATGGACACAATATACTGAGAATTCTGAAAGAGAAGCAAGAGTACATTAAAGGTAGATTTAATGTCAGCAAGAAAAAAAATACATTGTCGAAGGCTTTCATGGCCAGAATCACTGGGTTGTAGGTTTTTCCGGGCTATATGGCCATGTTCTAGAGGCATTTTCTCCTGACATTTCGCCTGCATCTATGGCAAGCATCCTCAGAGGTAGTGAAACGTCAGGAGAAAATGCCTCTAGAACATGGCCATATAGTCCGGAAAAACCTACAACAACCCAAGAAAAATACAAATTTATTTTTCTTAAATATAATTTTGTTTTAGTTGTGGTGGAACTTGTACATTTTAAATATGCTAAAATGTCTCAGATATAATTCAGTTAATTTTGGCACTTTTTAAGTGTTTTTTTTTTGTCACATTCTCTTACCTTGCTAAAATTTAGAGGAAGAAATGCTCCTGGAAGAAAGTGTATTATAAAAATGTAAAACTATTTCCTCCTATATATATAAAAAAACTTGCCCTTGAGCTCAACAGGAGGTGCTCCTCCACTCCTCCAGGCTTCCATCCTTCTCCCTCTTGCTTAGATGAATCTCCTCCTATATATATTCAGTGAAAGGACATATTTCCTAGGTGCCTGCATAATATGCATCTCCTCAGTAAAGACTGAAACACTCGAATTACATTGGAGGGGTCATTTAGTAAATAATGCTTTACAATATAGTGTCATTTGAAAAGACTCATGTGTTTGCAGTGTCACAATAAGTACATAGTGATGTCAGTAGACACAGCTTTACTTCCCTTCAAAGCCAATTCCTATGGGCAATCATTGTATTTCATTAGTAGAGCAACAACCAAAATCGTGTAGCTCAGGCATCCTCAAACTACGGCCCTCTAGCTGTTTGGGCCTTCAACTCCGGGAATTCCTGGCAATTCAACAAGCTCATTAGGGCTTCTGGGAGTTGGAGGCCCAAACATCTGGAGGGCCGCAGTTTGGCGATGCCTGGTGTAGCTCATGGGGAGGCTCTCTGTCCCTTTTTTGGTTTATCCAACAGTGGGAAACCTATTTTGCTATTTAATAATTACAAGGTTTCTTATATATAGTTTAGACAGCAGCTCCTCATGTTTGGCACTAGCTGGCTTTTTCCAGTCTGTTTGGCTCATTCTCCTTGGTCATGAGTGCTGCAATGTAAGCATGACAGAGTAGTGGATAGGTATATTCAGCTTCTCTACCCAAGGGCACTAATTCCGGTTTGTTCTGCCCTTCCAGGAACTAAAACCATTTGGAACTTCCAGTTGCTTGCTTTATATTTATGTAGCATTGAATCAGATTTAATTATTGCTGGACAATAAACTGTACAGTTTTTTGGAAATGAGCATGCACTCAGTATAACAGGACTTCCTTCTAAACATGATTGCTTGGGATATTTAAGTAGCCCAAATACAAAACATTCTGAGTTGTTGGTTTTTTGAACCCAAGAATTTGAAAAGAAAGGACTAAATACAGTTTAAATAATAATAATAGGTCTATATATTTTCCTGTGTTTTTACAAGGCCATCTCTCAAATACTTTCTGTCTCCTTTTCAGTGATAAATGTGCTGGTGTCCGAGAATGCACACATTTAGAGAGCAAAATTAACATAGACATAAAAATGGGAAAAAGACAGGCTTCCGTTTTCATTGTTGTGGACTGTAATGGTATAGTTTAAAAAATAAATTCTGACTAAGAATGTGAGAAATAAACAGTGGAATATAAAATCTGTGTTCTTTCTGATTGTTTTATGACAGCTTCTCCTTTGGGGATTGACATTAGCATCTCTTTCACAAAAATGCTGGCATCTGCTGAATATTCCTCCCAATATCATCCTACTGCTCTGTCTTTTTACATTTTGATTTGAAAGCCATGGAGTTCAGTAAAATGAAAGGAAAAAGACTGTTTGAGCTGGGTTCCTTGAAAAAAATCCAGATCTCTTAACCACCTCTACCAATCATTTGCTGCTTGTGATTTTATCTTCTGGGTGCTGCATATACCTGTGTATAAATTAAAAAAATGTGTGCCAAAAATTGAGCCAAAAAAACTCAGTCATACATAGGTCAGTAGGTTAACTCTATCTACTGCTGTGCCATCTTTGAGAATTCCTGGAGGTCAGAAGTCCCAGTGGATTGAAGAAGGAAAAATGTTCTCATCTTTAAAATGGGAAAAGAGGATCCAAACAATTACTGACCTATCTATCTAGCAACAATACCAAGAAAGATTCAAGAGTATATGTAAATAATTAGAAAGACCTGTGATTGCTAAAAGTCAACATCGGTTTCTCGTGGCATACTAATCTTATCTCTCTCCACACACACAGAGAGATACACACATATATACACACATATACATACATACATACATAGACCTATAAGCTTAGTAGATGATGGGACTGCTATGACTGGTATTTATTTATTTATTTATTTATTTTATTTACAGCTTTTATATTCCGCCCTTCTCACCCCGCAGGGGACTCAGGGCGGATTACAGTGTACACATATATGGCAAACATTCAATGCCAATTTTTGACATACAACATATACAGACATAGACAGAGGCTATTTAACTTTGTCTGGCCGCCAGGGGAGCTGTCACTTTCATCGTCCATCTGCGACACTGATGAAGTACCTCCGCATTCCCTGCATGCTTTTTGCTGGGGTGCTAAATTAATTAATTTAGCCTCCCCACACTTTAAGGGGTACCTCATTTTCCTACTTGACAAATGCAACTGTCTTTCGGGTTGCAAAGGTCGACAACGGGCTACACAATTGGTTGGAAACCCACTCCAACCCGGGCTGGCTTCGAACTCATGACCTTTTGGTCAGAGTGATCTTAATGCAGCTGACACTCAGCCAGATGCACTACAATCCCGGTGCATATCTTTATATAATTAAGGCCTTTAACAAGGTCCTTCATGATGTTCTTGCAAATCTATATAAAATAAAAATGTAATGTTCGTTTGTGGGATTAACATAACTCAAATTTGGACACAATACATCTATCAGGCTAATGAGTGACCACCACTCATAACAACGCTGAAAAACACAGCAGAAGAGACTTAGAAAGGCAAAAAATAAAAATACATTACAATGCATGCGCAAAACCACACACACACACATATGCACACACACACACACAAACATATATACACAAATATATATACACACAAAACACAGACAACATGTGGCAGGGGACAGCTATAAAGCTAATAAAATGAGAACTAAATAATGCTTCCATTAGGTGAATTTGTAATAGATTGACCATCTGAACCCAAAGGGTATTCACCAATGGCTCCTCTTCATACTCGAGAAAAGAGACTAGTAGGATGCCATATGGCTGTATCCTAAGCCCTGTGCTGTTCAATAATTTTATAAATAATTTGAATGGTAGAATAGAAGGTTTGCTTATCAAATTTGCAGTTAACAACAAATTAGGAGGGGGAGTTAAATGCCCTAGAGAATAGGATCAGAATCCAAAAAAAATGTAATGTTTGTTTGTGGGACACACATAACTAAAAAATCACCGCACTAATTGACACAAAATGTGGACACAATACACCTATCAAGCCAATGAGTGACCATTACTCACAAAAACACACACACACAAAACAATGAAGGAGCCTCCCTCCTTGGGCCTTATGGATCCACTGCTGTGGCTCCAGCTGCTGCCGGGGCTTGCCTTGCCAAGCCTCCATGCCCTCCCTCCGTAGGGCCAGACCTTCTCCTTCTTTCCATCTTTCCTTTCCTCAATCCCACCCCTCCCCAAAAGAAAAAGGACTCTGCCTTCCTGCCTGGAAAGGGACTCCATAGCCAGGCTTCTCTTCCCTCACAACGGTTCGTGCTTCATTCTTCTCACACGCTGGGGAGAGGGGCTTTTGCGCATGCTCTGTAAGGCATTTTTCTTTTTGGGGGAGTTTTAAGTTATTTCCCCTTCATTTTAAAATGTTTTTTTTTGTTTGAAAGACATAATGGATTAATATGTGTTTTGCTGCCAAATTTGGGATCAATTTGTCCAGTGGTTTTTGTGTTACGTTAATCCCACAAACGAACATTACATTTTTATTTATATAGATGGTTCTGCCCTCAGCATTAAAGTAGTGTTTTGTCAAAGGGGTAGGTCACTGCTCTCTCATAGTTCAACTATATTCTGTCAAACATTTGGTTGTCTATCCCACATTCAACACTACTGCCATTTAGACTGCTTGATAGTTCATAAAATTAGGAAAAGATAGCACATTACATAACCATATTACATAATGATTCAATTTTGATTCAAAAGAGAGGAATAAGATTGCAATTATGA